GTGGGGGCGGGGCCGTGGGGCGGGGCCGTGGGGGTGGGGGCGGGGCCCGTGGGGGCGGGGCCGTGGGGGTGGGGGCGGGGCCCGTGGGGGCGGGGCCGTGGGGCGGGGCCGTGGGGGTGGGGGCGGGGCCGTGGGGGCGGCCGCCCTGCGCCCAGGCCTGGGCGTCCCGGGGCTCCGCGCCAGCAGGTGCGTGCGTGAGCCCAGCGGTCCCGGGCCCGTCCACACCGCACGCCAGCCTGGAGATGCCCCGCGGGAAGGCCACGGGGCGTGAGTGTGTGTGTGACTTCGGTCTTGCTGCGGCTTCAGGGGGCTCTGCGCCGGGAGGGGCCACCGAGGGGAGGGTGACACGAGGCTGTGCTGTGAGGCGGGAGCAGGCGGCACCGCGGACCCTCTGCCTCGGGCTGAGGGTCGTCGGGCTCCCTGGGCTGCGCTGGAGGAAGTAACAGGATAGAAACATAGACCGCGTCGGGCGTCCGTTGTTCCCACTGAAGGTTTTACCAGAGTTCGCGCAGCGGGAGGACGTGACGTCCCCGCGTGTACACGGGGCGGTGCCGCGGGGCCCTGGTCCTGTGCGGTCGGGCCTTCCGCTCAGAGAGGGCAGCCCTGGGGCGGGGTGCAGCGGGCTCTTCGCCCGGCGTTTGTCCGCGGTGCCGCCTGGGGCGCCGTGCAGGGCAGGGGCGTGGGGGGCGTGTGCACAGGGGAGGAGGGGGATTCACGCGCAGGGAGGCTGGGCTCGTTCGGGTGGGGCCCTCGACGCCGCCAGCCTGTCCCCTCCCCACCGGCTGTGCCCCAGGCCGTCAGTCCCGGGGCTGTGCCCCTGCGGCGGGAGGGCCCTGAGCAGGCTCCCATGGGGGGCGCTGCCCTCCCTGCAGAGGTGAGTGTGATCTGTGCCCGTTCCGGCCGGGTGGGGCGCTGCCGGGAGCCCCACGCACGATCCGACCGCGGCTGGGCAACCCCGTCCGCCCCACATTCCAGGACTCTGTGGTCCTCATACACCTGAACCATTTCAAGAGTGAAACCCCCATCTCAGTGCTGGCACCGAAGGGGAGCCCGCGGAGCCCCCCAAAATAACACGGTACCAATCTCCATCCCCGTCGTGGACGCTGATGTCTGCAATCTCACGTAAAGGACCGACTAAACTCCAGACAACCCGGCCATTGCTGTTCGCCTGTGACACTCACTTTAGAGAAAAACTGTGTTCACTGTTTTCGAATTCCGAAGACTCGCAGCTGGACGGCTGTCCCCAGGCCCATCCAGAGAGCGGATCACCGACAGCGCTGGACCCCACACAGGGGCTCCATTAATCTTGAGGGAAAACCCTGCAAGATATATAGAAAACGTATCTCATTTATCTATCTCATCACTGTTGATTAATCCTAAACCGAGGTCCCTAGCCTCAGCTTTAGAAAAAAGAGATGGGTTTTTAAACCGCGCCGTGGCCTCGTGAGCACGGCAGAGAAATCGATCCGCCCCAGCGGAGCTCTGCGGTGGGAACTGACCACCCATTGATTTCTTGCGTTAAATTACCAGCAATGCTTTAAAACGAAAAGCTCATGAATAAGCCGTGCCCAGGCGTGTGCCATTTTTTAAAGCACGGGTCTCTCTGGTCCCTGGACCTTCTGGCTCTCCCTGCTGGGAGGTCACAGCCCATGCTGGCAGGGAGCACCCTGCCCCGGGGCCACAGCACACGGACGTGCAGCAGAGAGGTCTCAGTGCAGCGTGGCTCCTAGGAGAGACGGGTATCCATCCACTTAAACACGGCTCAGTGAGCAAGGCACTGCCCCAGATGGTGGCAGGGGTGGGGAGGGACACCGAGACACCACAGCTCCCCCGCTGGGCCTCTGGGGAGAACGGTCCTGGTCCACGCCCCTGGGTGCTCTCCCTCCCCATCTCCACCTACACACCCAGAGGGAGGGGGCGTCACTGATCGCTGGGTCGGTGAAGATCAAGGGAATAGCCGAGGACTGGCCTGGGGTGACGCGCTAGATCTGGTCCCGTGCAGGGTACCTCTGAGCCTCTTCCTCAGCTCGGGGGTCTGGGGGATGGTCTTGGTGCCATTCTCCATGCCCTCCAGAAGTCAGCGGAGGAGCGAGCCACCTCCAAGAGCCACTCCATTGCGGAGGGGACGGGGAGAAAGGGCCCCTCAGGGCTAGAAAATGCCCAACTTTGCAGGTGACAGATGGAGGGACCCTTGGATGCCAGGCTTCTGAAGGAGCAGGTCCCCGAGAAAGACGGTCCAGCAGCAGAGAGGCCTGCGTGGCCATTTGTGTTTTCTGCACGGCAAAAGCAGAACGGTGAGGTTCTGAGCAAGGGTACGGCTGACGCTCTTATTGTAAAATTCCCGTAAAAGCCAAGGTTGGGGGGCACCTGGGTGGCTCAGTCTGTCAAGCGTCCGACTTCCGATTTGTGGGTTCGAACCCTGCGTCGGGCTCCATGCTGATAACTCAGAGCCTGCTTCAGATTCTGTGTCTGTCTGTCTGTCTGTCTCTCTCTCTCTCTGCTCCCCCACAATAAACATTAAGAAAAAAAATTTTTTAAGCCAAGAGAAAGCTCTTGGTTAAAGGGTGATTCTGGGGAAATAAGCGAGCCCGAGGGGCTGCCTTCGCGTTGAGCCTGTGAGCTCAGTGCTGGGGAAGGAGGTACTGAGCAGCGGCCCTGGCCCCGCGGGAGGACGGCTTGGTGGGCAGCACCTGGGCCACGTGCCCTGCACGGGGGCAGGCGCTTGAAGAACAGCCCGTGGCCAGCTCACCTCTGGCCACACGAGCCTGACCTCACAGCCGTGTCCCCACCTTGCACTTGCCCCGGCGTCTCACTGCCCTGGGCCAGGCAGGCGGGCTTTTCCCTCCAACCCTCCAGAGGAGCGCAGAGGAGGAAGGCGGGCTCTGAGAGCCCAGCGCGGAGGGTCTCGCCCCCAGCCCATTGCAGCCGGAGGCCCCTTGGTGGGACTGGATTGTCATCCCTTGTCGGATTTTGTTTTGTTTTCAAAAGGCAACGGCTGTTGGCTGTTGTTCCACGATTTGCTTAGGACACTTGGTAAGAAGCAGTGGAATGTGGACATCTCTTCCCATCGGAACCTGGAGACAGGGGTCCCCTTCGGTGGCACCACAGCTTGCTCTGTGCTGTTGGGACAGCACTGCTGTCCCCGAGCAGGTGCTCGTGCGTGTGCTGTGACCCATAAATTAGGTCCTGAGGCACGGGACTTTCGCTCGTATCTACGTGCCTTTTTATTGCAAAATTACCGGTTTATCCGCGCAACTGCAGTGTATGAGATATTAACCAAGCTTTTTAACTTTTCCTGATGTGACAGGCAAAATATTGTTTCATTTTTATTTTTTAAGTATTACAAAGTTAAACGTCTGTCTCTGCACTTATTTCTGTTTACGTGTCGTCTCCTGTGATTGGCCTGGTCACAGCCTGTGCTCACTTTTACTTTTCTCCTTTGAGTTACAGGAGCCACTTTAAGTCAGAGATAGTAACCTTTTAAGACTCCTGGATTTTTTTAAATTTTTGTTTTAGAATTTTTTGTTTAAGTTTATTTATTTATTTTTGAGAGAGTGTGTGTGGGGAGGGGCAGAGAGAGAGGGAGACACAGAATCTGAGGCAGCTCCAGGCTCTGAGCTGTCAGCACAGACCTCAGTGCGGGGCTCGAACTCATGAACCACATCACCAGAGCCGAAGTCGGACATTCAACCGACTGAGCCACACAGGCGCCCCTATTTATTTAATTTTAAAGAGAGAAAGACTGTGTGAGTGGGGGAGGGACAGAGAGAGAGAGAGAGAGAGAGAGAATCCCAAGCAGACTCCGTTGCCAACGCACAGTCCGACATGGGGCTTGAACTTACAAAACAGGGAGATCATGACCTGAGCCAAAATGAAGAATCAGATGCTTCCTCAACTGAGCCACCCAGAGGCCCCAAGACTCCTGGATTTTTAAAAATAGCTCAGGTGTTACTGGGTGTTGTATGTAAGTGATGAATCACGGGAATCCACCCCCAAAACCAAGAGCACACTGTACACACTGTGTGTTAGCCAATTCGACAGTAAATTATATTTGGCTCAGGTGTTGTGAGAATCTAGCCCCAAGATAAACAAGCATTTTATGCTTTCTTTCTTTTATAGTTAATCTGTTTTTGACACTTAGATCTTGATCTGCCTGTTTTATGTGGACCGTGGGCCTGGAATACAGAAATGGCCCTGTCCCGCCTCCCTGGGCCATGGCGAGGGCGTCAGCGCCTGGGCTCAGGGACACGTACCCTGTGTCCTTACTCTCTGCGCTCTGCGTCTCCACCCTCCTGCCTGGGCTGAAGGCCCTGGTGGCCACGGCTCAGCTCCCAGAGAGGCTCCAGAGGACTTGGCCTGGCCAGTTC